CCTATATGGTGGTTTAGAGTAGATGTGATACATACAGAATGTGGAGTTACTGACAGTGTGAGATTTGTACGTGATAGCTGTTCAGTAGGTGTTTAGTGAGATAGGGTGATAAGTGTGAACGCGCTCTTTTCTTTTTTTTAAAAGAAAGTCCAAATCATACATTTTTAGACGGTCATGAAACCAAGTCCAAACATCTGTTTCTGTGTTTTTTTAACCTTTGATTTTGACCATTTGCTTGCCAACGCTGTCTGACTCTATAAAGTGAATGATAAGAAAGTCTGTAACACCAATAGAAGGTTCTGTATCTGGATGTCCTGCATTTAACAACAGCCACCCAAGTAAAGTACCTCTACAGTGATGGGGGACCTACAGCACATGTATGTGTTAGACCAAAGCACAAAGCTATCCGACAAAAGTTAGAAGTACAAAAAATTGCTACAATAGGTGCACACAGCTTCTGAGCGGACAGCACTTGACACATTTTTAAAGATTTCTACTATTTATAGTGTTTCATCGTGTTACGATTCATGTTCAATAAAACCATTTACATTAAATATCTGTATTAGTATGCATTAATACATAGAGGTATACCGATGCCTGGACCACCTGTGAGTCAAATGGTCAATGAAAATATTTCAAATGAATCAATATTTAAATTGCAGCCAGTCCGAATGAACAAATTGCACGACACTGTGGTGATCATTACTCAGATCTTAATCTGAGGTGAACCAAAGCACCTATATTCATAAATGTTTTGGTATCATTATTCTAGAGGGCAGGTCATGGGGGCTACTAAATCACTTCTGACTTTAGGAATACGATTAGAAACTGTATTAAATTGCACCCATGTGGCGCCTATGTTGAATAAAACCATAAAATGCATTTCTAAATCCTATTTGACTCACAGTAAGGCATGATTTAAAGCCTGTTGAACAATAATAAACTTCTTTTTTTAAGAAGCACATTTATAATTTCAACCTCACCATGTGCTAGTAGTGAATAAATAACTTTGATTTTAGGACAATTTAGAGTATCTGATATATTTTTATCACATACAGTAGTTGTTTGAAAATGAAGATAATCTGGTAGAAATCTATGCATAAAAAAAGCAGCTTTTGTGGAATCAAGAAGACTGTTTAGTCTCTCCGATGTCTCTGCTTCGAGGCAAATCCATGTGAGCATGTGATTATAGCCTCTTTATGTCAAAATTTCTGTCATGGTAGTGATGCAGAAGTGGAATGTGAATTGTGTTTCAAGAGTTGATCGGAGTCGGTCAATATAAATCCTTGAAAGGCTTGGTGTAGTTAAACATCAGGTAGTCCGTGTAGTAGAAGTCATAGATTCGCTGTCTCTCCAGCGTGCTGACCTGTGAAAAGTATTTTTGTGTGATGTTCACGGAGGTTCTCTTGTCGGCCGGGTTCCTGTCTTTAAAACTGGGCAGCTTGACGTTGGGCGGAGCGCCAGTCAATCGCAGGAGAAAGTTGGACTCTTCCTCCATGTTCTCGAACTTTCCGATAAAGTTGTAGTCTATGAGACAAGGGTTGCAGAGCTGGTTCGTCTGGTCCCAGTGGATGTCCATTCCTACGGGCCGGTGGACATCCAGCAGGTACTGGACGAACTCCTTGAACGTGACCCCGTTGCCCGTCTTCAAGGCCTCTGGGGACGGGTTCGCCCTGTACTTGGAGATGATGGGTTTCCCGAACAGGTTGTGGTAGTAGTTGTTAGGATTCTCAAACTTGTCCCTGTAAGCCGACACCATTCTCTCCAAGGGCTCTCGGACAAACATGACTTTGGTGTAGGTCTCCAGACGGTGCATGATTCCCTTTCGGTCGAAGGTGTTAAGCTCCCTGAGATAGTGGCCCTCGTGGACTGTGTCATGTTGAATGCTCTGAGCGTTGGGGGCCAGGCCCGCCAGCACGATCAGGGTCCTCTTCCAGTTGGAGCAGCCCGCCTTGGGCACCTGGCAGTACAGCAACTTGTACTTGTCCTCCACGAAGAGGTTTCTCACGTGATGAGCCGTGATGGTCTTGGAGATGCTGCTTTTGTACTTGGCGCACATCTCCTTCATCAGTTGCCGGCGTGCTATCTGAAAGTCACCGAGCTTTTTCCAGCTGTCGGGGGTGAAGGAGCCAGAGGCAGCAGGGGAGACAACCGAGGAGGAGGACGTAGAAGAAGAAGAGGAATCACTATTGGTGGAGTGGTGGATTGGGGGACTTGTTTTCAGCAGTTTGCGTTGTCTTTTAGAGACATGGACGAGGTTTATGTCCTGCTCCCGAGACCCAGGGGAGGACGCCTGTCTGCTCTGCTCCCGGGACCCAGGGGTGGCCGTCTGTTTACTCGCCTCAAAGTGTGGGAACTGCATCGGAGGGATCGGGCTGGACAAGATGCCTTCGGTTCGGTCCTGATAATTGTCAGATTTGCCCCTCTCTCTGTCCTGCGTAGAAAGAGTCTGTATAACAAAGAACAAGAAGCAAGAACATAGGATTACTACTTGGTGGTGAATCTGGGCTGAATTACCAGAAGCAGCCACATTAAACCCCTCATACTGTCTTCAGTATTCACACATGCCACTTGATGGTGCTGTTTCACCACACCTCAAACAAAGGACTAACTTTGTTACAGGTAAATGTCACACACTTCCCAATGCCTTCCACGACCTATCAATAAACTGGTATGTAATACCAAATAAACGTCTTATAAACACCTAATGGGAAATGTAAATTTAAATCATCTACTGCCTGATTACCATCAGATGATGCCCAAGGCCATTATGCATTCTGACATTTTATTTCAATTAAACGCCGTAATGGCGTCATAAAGCCAATGGACTGGATGTATAATTTTAATTTTACAACAGACAAGGTGATGAAACCATCATGAATCTTGGCTCATCCCCCCCTCCTGACTTAAATGGCCATATTCTTTCCTCTGCAGGGACATCTGGAAGGGAAAGTGGGGGAGAGAAAAAAAGGAGGCGGAGGCTCCTCCCTGTCTGTTTTTAATGCGCAAGGCGAGCACGGAGCAGCAACCTAACACGCCAGACGTCACGTTTGTCGGAGGTTCGCGCCGATGCAGGTCTCATTGGTGCCGCCGATCACAGCAGAGATCAGACACAGCACTGCCAGCGCCGACATAGAAACCTAGTTCACGGATCGTCTCGGAGTCAAACACGATGTGGCTCTCTCTCCTCTTATCTCATCTGTCTGAACCTTGAAGCTATCCGTGACTTTGTAATGCTAATTTGTGGCAATTAAGGACACATTTCACCCTCTGCCGTTTTTGCTTGATTGAGTTTTGCTCGGGCACATCAGAACAATTCCGTTCTTGTGCAAATTACTGTCCAAAAACACAGGAGCTGGCTTCAAAATGCAAAATTTGCACGTCCACGTATGATGTTTTAAAAACCCTAATGGAAAAAATGTGCCTCCTATGAATCCGTTTGACTTGTGTGTTTATAAATGCTGGTTCGCCGTTCATCCGAAATGGATGCAAACTAACCAGAAAGGTGAATACAAGAAAGGAATCTTCTACTGTGGAAGAAGTAAGGTGTGATCACACTGTGAAGAACCGAGGCCTGATTCGACTGGGACCGTTTACTCTGTGAAGTCTGACTGGCTGAATGCACAGTGTGCGGTCAGCCTCTCTACACAGATACTATCAGACACGCTGAGAGGAACAAGGCTGACAACCCCCCCCCCCCCCCCTTTTTTTTTTTTTTTTTTAGCAGTAGATAACAGTTGGGATCTGTGTTTTGGGAGAAACGGAGTAAACACGTACCTCTCTGGACTGCCGTGGAGCGCTTCTAAGCTTCACACCTGGGGAGAGAGAGAGAAAAGAGACACGGAAATCAGTCTTTAAGTAAACATGTTTATTTTTTTCCCTGTCCTTGCATATGAGAGTTAGGCGCCTCCGACACATCAGAGGCTCCCAATAATTGAACGCTTCCTATCACTTAGCGGACTACTTTTGATCCCCAGCCGCTCTACTAGTCTAACTGAGGGACGACAGGTAGCTCTATCTGTGTAATGAGCTGCCACAGGCATGAAAAGTTGGTAAATGAGTTGCGCTCCCTGTAGCAAGCACTGAGGATGAGACAGGGGAAGAAAAAAAAAAACACAAGAAAGGGAGCGAGACAGAAAGAAACCAGCAAAGAGAACCAGAGTTGTAGTTTTGCAAAACCAGAGGAAAGACGGAGGGAAGAGGTCTGCTGAGTTTCTCGAGGACAGCAGGATAGTGATGGAGACGTACAGATTGGTTTTGTGGCAGCCTCGGGGACAGGTGGTACGTGCATTGGCAGATGTGCGGCAGCCGGACAGACGACGTGTTTAGCGGTCTGTCTCCAGCTGGACATCTCCTTTCCTAAGGTCCCCCCACCTTTCCCTCCTCTCCATCCTCCTGATATATAATCAGGCTGACAGCTCTGAGTGGGGCTGCATGGCTGCTGATCGGGGGGGGGGGGGGGGCAAGAGACGCAAGAGAAGACACCTCTGCTTGAGTGGCCTGTCACTTCCAATTTGAGGGTGGAAGTGATAGGAACCTGCGCGAGGGGGGATGGAGGTGGGGGCTGTAGATGCAGGCCACAACCTTTCCTAAGTGATGAGATCTGCAGAGCCCCATCTCGCACTTAAACACGCCTCGGTTGGGAGGGAATAAAACGCGTTACCCAGATGCAGTGTTGATTTAGAGTAGCATGCTCCGGAGAGCCCGGCGTTTGCCGCCTGGCTCAGCACGTCGAATCCTTTCCTCGTCTTCATTCTCCCTGAACGACACACCGGCGTAAGAAGCGGAGAAGGGAAAATACGAACAGGCGCGGGCCAAGGAGGCGGCGCGTGACATTTTGTAATCTTGTCTGGGTGCCGCTGTGCTTATTTGATCTCATACCCCTAATGAAAGCTCATGTAGGATGAGCATCTTTTGATATCGGTTTACAGCGTCGCAGGGGAAACTAAATTATTATTCATCCCAACACACACAGGTGCCATCGCCAGGGAAACGCGTCCACAACAGCAACGGCGTCCGCTGCTCTAAACTGATGGTACGGTACGAGCCCCCCCCCCCCCCCATGGCCATGACCGCCTCGTCAAGATACACGCTCGGTTATTGATCTCGAAAAGCCCATTGAGGTAGTAATTGAAATCTCCAACAGTTTAATTGGTTCCTTCTAGGAGGTGTTTCGTCTGACTGTTGTTACAGGTTTGTCACAGCTGTTGGTGTCATCATTTTCGCACTTCCTCATTCCATGTCGCACCTTCAGGCAGCATTTGAAACCCATTATTGTGCCAGTCTGCTGAACCACTGACAGAATTCAGGACTGGAAAGCATGTATTTCGTTAGATATTCGACATTTATTTCTAGCATTCGTTCTGCAAAGGTTTTGAGAAACAGGAAACAAGGTCAAATCGGCATTGAACTGAGCACATTGGACACTCGGTGGTCCCGTTCAGCAATTTGTTAGTTATTTTGAATCTGACATGTCTGCTCTTGATTTGATAAATCTCTGCTGAATCAACGCTCGCAAACATTGAGCGAATTCTGGCTCTGAAAATGCATCGCTCTCTCAAGTAGGGAGCCAAAATTACATTTCACGAGAGGAACATTTTTCCATGATAAGAGCACAACTGAAACAAGTAATATAACAATGTAAACTGAGTTTACAGGGGGGGATTTGTAAACATCATTTATCTCTGTAGTATCTATTTGGGCGAGGGTAATAGTTGCCGTTTGATTGCAATTTCACACTCAGTCAATTCCACTCAGTATAACTATGCTATTGATTTTTACTGCTGCACGGAGGTTTCTTCCTGTAAGATGCAGAATATTGGTCGGCGTGGTTCCACATAGAGATGTAGTTGATACGGAATAAACCCACGTCTTTACGGAAGCTCATTTTGTATATAATCTAATGGTGCGTAATCATGCTTCTTGCAAGGTGTAATTTGGAAGTTGGTTGAGAGGCATTAGAGGTTCATACTGTATATTGATGTGTGGTTACTGTATACTATATAGAGCTGCAACGATTAATCAGTTCGTTATCAACTATTAAATTAGTTGCCAAATATTTAGATACTCGTTTAAGCAGTTTGAGTAATTCTCTGATTCTAGCCTCTTTCAAAGGAATTCTTTACTCTATGATAATAAAAAAAGATATTTGAGGGTGTCATTTTATAGACTAATCTATTACTCGTCTATTAATCAAGAAAATAATTGACAATGAAAATAACTGTTAGGTGCAGCCCTCCATACTGTAGCATTCACACAAAAAAGGATTCTCTGCAGCACTAATGGAGCGGTTCAGGATAAATGCACCAAAGGGGGGAATTGGGTAATGGCAAGAAAACAGTTAACCAATAAAGCTGAAATTGTTTTCATCCCCAGACGCTTAATGTCAAACTCTGATGTCTTCTTTCAGACGCTCTAAAGGGATCTGGTAAACTCGTACGAAGATAAAACCCACTTCCCAAACCGTAGTTTCAAAGAGGGCCTCTGAACAGTTCCGCTCTGATTCTAAGGTACCTCACTGTCATTTTGCTGATGACTGAAGCCGATTTGAAAGCGCCCCCTGTTTGTCCTCCAAAGTAACCTCGATTGCCACCTCTCCCTCCGGGACGGAGCCTCTGAATATTCATGCAGACGACCCAGCGTCACCACAAGGAACCATGTAAGCAAGGGCCACATCATTAGCGGATCCATTATCATCCTTCCCTCTCAAAGACCCTCTCTGACAGAGAAACACATCAAACACCCTCTTCCCTGCCACCGCCGCCGAGGAGGAGCAAAGGACAAAAACAATGTGAAATAATGAGCTTATTAAGTGAAGGATTGTGGCCCTTGTGTTGTGGGGAGAACTCGTTAAATGCCTGGTTCTAACCGGAGACTGGGGGGGCCAGGAGGGGAGCCGAAAGCCAGACGAGGCGTGTCCTCCAGCCCAGGATTCAAACGAGTGCCGCACCGCCATAAAGCTTCCATCAGTCATTCAGCACACCGAGCCGCCGTGACCCCAACCAGCTGCACTCCCTTCTCTACCCAACAAAACCACCCACACCTGCACTCTGCGCACACGCTCCTCCTCCTCCACTTGACTCTGTGTGGGAATAGAACGCTCTGGCACGCCAGGGTGGTTTATCAGAGGAGAGAACAGAGGTATTAGGTTTTAAGCTCTGCCTCCATTGATGTTTGAACTTGTTGTGGAGATAAAACAACGATTCAGTCAGCGCTGGAATCCTCCAGGACTTGGCCGGAGAGAGCAGGTGCTGGGGGGAGGGAGGAGGAGGAGGAGGAGGCGATGGGGAAGGAATCGAGAATGAAGGGGTGCTCGCAGACGCTCTCTGAAGACCACACACGGGCGATCTGAAATCTGTGTGTATAATCATCTGAGGGCTGTGTTGTGTTTGAAGCTGTAAGGATTTCTTAAGTGTCCACAGCTCAAAGCACCGGTTTGGCCGAGAATGAATCAACGGCACATCTTAAATCTGAGCAATTACGATGTCCTGTGAATGAAAACAACAGACCAGGACACGGAGAAGCACGTCGTTCCCACTTGTTTCAGCAATAGGAACCATGGCGCCACACCAGAATCAATCGGTAGGATTTAGCATTAGAAGAGATTAATGCCTCCAGGCCTGTGCTCTAATTTGATTAATTGACTGCTGTCCAATCAAGAGCCCCAGGATTCAGTTCCACAGGGTCATGACTTCGGACCCAGGATCTGAGGAAGTAAGTCAATATTGGACAATTTTGCACATCACCATTTACGTCCAGTCCCCCTCGATGGAAGGGAACTACGTACAAGTGCTTACTTACTCAAGTACTGTACTTTTAGAATGTCTTAGGCATTTCATTACAGCAGGGGGATGACAGGAAATGAGATAGTGATATAACGGTCCAACATTGGGGTTCATGGTTGGCATCCTAACCCCAAAGCTACAGGTTACCCCACAATCTTTAGGTACTTGTACTTTACTTAAGTACTTTGTTTCGTGCTGGTTTGTAACTTTACTCCACTTAATTTCCCAAGGAACTAAAGTACTTTTTAACCCGGCTACATTCATCCGACAGTTATAATCACTACTTACATGGCATATTAACATTATGCATCAGAAACATATGATCATCTTATAAAACTACTCTGTATGTACATTTACTCAAATTAGCTCCACCTTGACCGAATACAAAATTTTAATGCTGCTGACATAATCGCATTGATATAGCTTCATAGTAACAATAACAAATATATTTAGAATATAATATTATGAGGGCTGTTTGGCCAGGTGCTGATATTTCTGGCAATTAAAACTTTTTGCTCCATTTCCTTTCACACAATAACCCTCATGACTTAATTAGTGAATTATCACACTTTCCGTCCAGCCTGCTGGACTATTGATTGACGGAGCACATGGCATCGAGCAAGCAACTGGTATCAGAAGACACGCCACCTACAAAGGTCGTAAAGCGTCACAGCTGAAATGTTTCCTTCTCAAGCCGGATCACAAAGCCAATTCATTGTTGCTGCGTGGTGTGTGGTGATACCTCGTGTATTCATTTGACATTCTGTTTCCGGCTCTGTGTCCTGTTGACACCTTATTAGTCTGTGTTGGTTTCAAGCACAGGGTGAAATTAATTACAGACTTCACGGAGTAAGTTTGATTCCTTTGGACTTTGTCAATGTGGCTTTAGTTGCTTGTGCTCATCAATAAAGGCCATAGATGATTGTGGTCCTTTTACATTGTAGGTAATGAAGCTACCCGTGGTGAAGTGGTGCCATGACTTGTATAGTACATTGATGCAGTGAAAGAGGGTGCGAATAGTTGACTGTTAC